TTTCCTGCCTGGGCCCAGCAGCGTCCTGGATTCAGCACCTCCTGGCTCAGAAAAGTAGATTCTGCTAATTTTTTCGCAACTCTGGGTGCAGTGATGTCTAGTTGGCAGTTTGAAATCAACTGTGGTTGGAGTATTTACACCATGGAAACCAGCAAACACTATAAATCAGGGCTTCTTTGTGTTTTGGAGGGTCATTTTACCAGTCCACCACTACTGCTACCTGTCCTTAACCATGTTCCCCCCACCTGTCCCCAAAGGTATCCACTCTCCTGACTTCTAACACTGCAGATTCATTTTGCCAGTTTTGGAGCTTTATTCAAATGGAATCAATAGATGAAAGTTCTCATGTATGATTTCTTTCACTCTACATCACGCCGTGAGAGTTATCCGTGTTGTTACGGGTGACTAGTTCATTCAATCTCATTGGTGTATAAACCCCATTGTATGACTGAACCACAATTTATTTATTATTTCTACTGACAGTGGGCACTTGTGTTGGTTGTGAGTTTTGTCTATTATGAAAGTGCTGCTGTGAATGTATTTGTACACAGAATTTTTTAAAAACTGAAAGTTATTATGCTGTATACTTCTGAAATATCTTATAGTTACATTTTGATACAACGATAGATTACATCACTATCTTTTCTATTTATTGATAAGTTGATTGTATTTGTAAATCCAATGGATTTGGAATAAGTAGTTTAGTCATTACTGTTTTCAAATTAGTACTGATGCGAGGGATTTTTTGATAAGGACGAGAAAACTGACTCTGTCTCTTTTTATTTAATTTTCTTTTATTAAAGAAACCTACCATAACATGACTTTTATTGACCATCTCAGCTATCTTTAATGCATAAAGGCAGTGTTAAGAAACTTAACAAACGGTTTTAAAAGTGTGATATTTTCAAACTGCATATTTGAACCTGTATTGTTAGACTAAAGGGCCCTGGTGCTGGAGTGATTAAGTGTTAGGCTGCTAATCAAAAGGTCGGCGATTCAAACCCATCAGCTGCTGTGTAGGAGAAAGATGTGGCAGTCTGCTTCTGTAAAGATGACAGCCTTGGAACCCTATGGGGCAGTTCTACCCTGTCCTATAGGATCTCTAAGAGTCAGAATCAACTTGACGTCAATGGGTTTGGGTTTGGTTTGGTATTGTTAGGATAACTAAATCTTGATGAGTGCTGTTTTTAAAACCTCTTCCTACCAAATACTCCTTTGCCATTTCCATTTTATTTTGCAAATGAATACCCTACTTCTTGATGCTCCTAGTACTCAGCCATTACAGCTGTTTTTGTGGCATTATCTGCTCTGTCAGATTGGGGATTTCTCTTAAGGTAGATTTTGTCTTGTCCATCCTTTTATTGGTAGTGACTAACCCACTGGTGAACGTCATAAATGTTTATTGAAAATTAGGTTACTGTTAGACTCAGCCAGTGTCTTATTTAAAAACTTGAAATAAACAAACCAAAAAAACCCTTAGAAGATAGTTACCACCACCAGTTGCTGTTGAGTTGACCCCAAGTCATGGCGACCGGACGTGTGTCAGAGTAGCACTGTGCTCCCTAGGGTTTTCAATGGCTGATTTTTCAAAAGTATATCACTAGGCCTTTCTTCCAAGACACCTCTGGATGGACTTGAACCTCCAACCTTTCATTTAGCAGCTGAGTGTGTTAAGCTTGCAAGAAAATAGTTACCAGGTGACATCTTGATCAAGTTATTAAATATTCATTTTTTCTAAATCTTGGACTTCTGTATAAAGGAAGAAAGGATTTTCTTCTGATAAATGTTCTCACATACTCATATAATATTAACAGCAGCAAAAGCTAAGACCCAGTCTGTTCCTTCAGGTGTTCAGGCCATAGTTCTATTCCCACCTTTCTCCCCCCTCCCTTGGAAGGTGAGGCAGTGTTAAAGCTACACAGAACTGTACTGGAAACTTAGCTTCAGTCTAGAGGCTATAGCCAGATAACACTCAGGGGAATTATTGCTGGGGCGAGAACATAATCGTGTTTGGATCCAGATCAGGAGACTTATGAACAGTTCACAAAGTTTAGTATAGATTCCATGTTCTTTATGCAGGAATGGGCAGAGAGAGTTTGGGGCCTGCAGCCCACAGAGTGAGTCGGGATAGTACCAGATTTAGGAATGAATGCAACAAGCAGTCAATTGCAGGAGGAAGCAGGTCTGGCCATGGAGAGGTCTTAGCCTTGCTTTTCTCTTGGCCAGCTATGTGACTGTTCACAAGCTACCTCACCTCTTCTGGCCTCAATTTTTTCATCTCCAGAAGAAGGGAGTTGGCTTACATTGGCAATCATGCCCTTTGCAAAGCAAGCAATACTCTGATTACTCAGTTCTGGGCATGCTTATGCTAGAAAGAAACACCTTTCTTCACCAATGCCAGGTGCACAAATCCACAGGAGGAAACAAGGTTCAACTGAAGCAAGCAGCTGAAAAAATTCTGTTTGGATAATTTGGTCTTTAAGTCCAAACCCCCTCTTTTCCTTCAGTGTTGTTTGTTTCTAGTCTTCCTTCAACAGTAGTGAACAAACAGCTAGACTGCCCAATTGCCTTCTCCTCCGTGATGCCAAAGATTTTGATCAAATATCAACCTTGGTTATACAACTAAGTCTGTATAAAAAATATTAGATTACCTTTTATACAAAATTTTATATGGTTAAACAAAAGTCTGTGAAATTCCCTCAATAGAGACCATCTTTTATTTATTTGCTTTCTTTATTTCCTCATGTTATAAAATCGTGAAAATGAGTCATTGATTATAGAGAGAACCCATGGGACGTGAAGATACTCTCTGGTATGTGCAAGTAGCTTTCTGAGGTGTGAGGTGTTATTGAATTTCCAGACACACCCAGCTCATCCATGACTTAGAAAAGATCCACCTTTTAGGCTGATTGCTCCAGAAAAAATGCTGATCAAAGTATAGCCTATGATTGCCAATGAATTACTGTAATTTTAAAATACAAAGTATGTCCCAAACTCAGCTTCAAAGGCACAAAATGAGGAATATCAGTCAGGTCTGAATTTGGCAGAGAAAGATGTAAAGATGAAAATGGACTGTAAAGCTGAACGAGGGTGCGAGGAAGTATCAACATACAGTGGGCACGTGTGTGTTAAACTTATCCTACATTGTGGGGTAGCTTAGTAGAAATAGTGGATATAGTAGAAAGAGCGTTTAGTGTGGCGCCAAGTACGTGGGTGATTTGATTCCTGTCTCCATCAGTCATTCTCTCAAACTTAAGGCTTCTCGTCTGTAAAAGGGGAGTGATAATATCTACCTTGCAGAATGTCTGACACATTTTTTAAAAAGTTACCTAACATTATCTTTTTGAATTAGGTTTCATAGGCTAAAATAGCCTCTATTAAACTGGGAAAATCTTTTTTTTTTTTAATTGTACTTTAGATAAAGGTTTACAGAATAAATAGTTTCTCATTAAACAGTTAGTACACATATTGTTTTATGACAATGGTTAATAACCCCACGACATGTCAACACTGTCCCTTCTCAGCCTTGGGTTCCCTATTACCAGCTTT